GACACCCATCCGAAGGACGTGATCAATCAATTGATTGGGCGCGTTGCGAGTGGAATCCCGCTCTGCTTTTTCATCATCGATACCGGCAATTATGGATTGAAAAACGACCGACACGCGGCCGTAAATACTTTACACGCATAGGGATAAAATTTGATCGCGGTCATAGAAACGAGTTTAGAATGGAGTTGCAGGAGAATTGAATTTACCGAATCTCCCTTCTGCTGCTTGATTAAACCGCTTTACAATCCGTCTATCGATCCCTCTCACCCATCCGAAGAACCCGTCCCTATGATTTAGCTTTGAACCGATTGAATTTAAATTATTCTCTTCCAAAAAAAAAAAAGAAAGATCGAGAAACGATTTCGAGATCCGAAGGGGATGATTTCTGTTTATAAAGAAATTACAAATTTCTTCCATTGTATTGGATCCAAGTGTAAATAAGCGAGATTATTAAATTCGCGTTTGTTAAGAAATCGATAGATAGACCGTTTTAATCCCCAATTTTTTACCCCCCTCCTTTTTTTTTCCTCGATCGAAATTTACGATTCGCTCGGAAGGAGCTTAGGCGAATATATCTCGACCGCTCCACGATTGCAAGAACCGTAACGTTATTTCGGATTTGGCGCAGTTTACGACTCGATCGTTCCGCGTAGTTTTTCCGTCCCATGCATCGAACAGAATCGAATAACCGTTCGCCGTATCCGCTTAAAGCAATTTTTTGAGTGACCAGCGATCTTGGCATCGATCCGCGGTATTCTCCAAAAATTCGTCCGATAATCGTTTTGCCGACCTATCAGATATGTTCTTTTTTTCCTATTTCCCTTTCTTTCTTCTCTCTCTCTCTCTCTCTCTCTCTCTCTCTCTTATTTTTCCACCAAAATCGGGAACGAAGTTTTTAACAAAAAAAAAAAAAAAAAAGAATCACGGTTCCAGCCTGTACATTTTTTGGCTTCGAATAACATTGGATATACGCGGTGTATATCGACTGACGATTCGGATGTTAGTCAAAAAAATCACAGTGGAAAAAATGGAAAAAAGAGAAATAAAAACGCGCGATCTAGGAAGAATCGTGACTGGCAAAGTAATTTACCAGGTATTTTTAAAATATTCGAGGGAAAAAAAAATCCAAGATCTCCCTGTTTTCTTCTTTCCTCCCTCTCCCCGTTAATTATGAATTCCATGTAACAAAGTTTGCAGCTCGAAGCTTTTGAACCAAAGTTCAAAAAGATAGGAGGGTTAGGGGGAAAAAGTACGGAAAACTTTTAATATCGCGATGTAATATCGGAACAAGTAAAAATATTTGAACCAAAGATATATTTATATATATATATTCATATTCAAATACAAGTTTCCACGAATAAACTTATCGACTAAACGGGGGATGATAACGGGGGAGGAAACAAAACGTAGGCGTGTCTCGCGGTAACCTCGCTGATAAAGCGTCGAATAGCGTTTGCGGACGTATGCAACGGACCAACTTGGGAAAAATGACGGGAAAAAAGAAAGGGAGGGAGGGAAATATCCAGGTTGGTTTATCCGACTCCGCTTTTTCGGAGAAACGGAATATTCCCGGGCAAAAAATATCGCCCCCGTTTAATCCGGGAACGATCGCGCGCACCTAGATGCACACAGGTAGCACCCCAGCAGGGAAAGCTATAGTTACAGTCACGGCCTGGAAATCACTTTTTAACTTTTTCCGCGCCTCGATCGATCCCTTCCAACCCGTTTCGTCGATAATCGATAAATAAGACGGAAACGGCCTTCGAAAATTTGAGAATTTTCTTTTTCCTCTCTCCGTCTGTTCCAGTGCCGCCGGAACAACCCACCATTCTGGACCAGTGGGGGAGGATAGTGAACGGGACGGCGGGGCCCTACGAGGAGGGTGACACTCCCTCTTTGACGTGTCGCGTCACCGGCGGTAAGTGCGAGGGAGAAAGTGTATCACATAAGTGTTTCTTTTCTTTCTTCTTGTAATGTAAAATTTCATCCTGCGAAGCGGATAAAAGGGAAAAACAGCCCCCTCCCCGATTAACTGCGACCCTGTGGTTGCGTGTTTAGCTCGCGATCGTCCAAGTTGGATCGTTGAAAGGGAATGAAGAATCGAGGAACGGAGCTAGTCACCGGTGTTACAGCCGGTTATATTAGATCAGCCAACTTTTTATCGGAGAGCTAAGTGAAAAGTTGCGCGTTCGGAAGAACGGGAGCCTTCCTCTTGGAGGTGTGGTAAAGCGAGGGGGAGGATCGAGCGTTTCTCGAGTGGAATAAGGGAGGGAAGCGGCAAACTACCAAGGTTCCGGTATTTACTTTGGCAACTGGATCTAAATTTCTGTTTATAACTGCGCCAACTTCTCTCGGCTGCCTTAAAAGATTATTTCTTCCCCCTCTCTCTCTCTCTCTCTCTCTCGAGATTAAATACGAGGTTAAAATGTGGTGTCGCCGGATTTTTTTCCTTCCTATCATCGCAATTACAACGATAATAAAAATTAAAATTAAACGATAAACATAGGATGGTTCGTTTGATGAATATTCTCTATACGTATGTGTATACGTATATGTATATTTATATCCGCGAATCGAACATCTATAGAAGACGGGAACAAACACAGGGAGGATTCAATGCTGATCGTTCGATCCCTACGCTCGATGAATACATCGAAATTCGTAGCCAGCAGGAAATATGGCCGGCGTATGCATATTCGATGGGAATTGCATCGACGCCGCGCATCGATCATACGCACTGCGGCGTATAAATTGAATATCGAGAAGATCGGCTTATCCTTAACAATACGGGGCTCCCTCTGCAAACGATCCCCGAGAATTTTCATTTAATTGTAAATCGTCTTTAAACAGAAGAAGGGGATCCCCTTCCTCCCCAAGATTTCGATCGAGTGTCTTTTTATTTCTCTCTCTCTCTCTCTCTCTCTCTCCTTTTATTTTCGAAACGATTCGAAACAGTTTGGAAATTTATGTATCCGAGGTGTATCGATAACCGATATCGTTTCCGGCACAAAGCGAAATTTCGCGATTTTGATGTTTATTCGATTCCACCGACAAAGTTTCCTCCTCCTCCCTTTTCCTTCTTAAAACGGGCGACAACTTTTCCACCGCGCCAAGATTTGCAATTCGAAATGGCCGCCCCAATGCGAAATTACTACCTATATACTTTACCTTATTAAATGTTAATGCGCTCGCTCTTTTTTACCCGCGCAGCGATTCGAGGAATCGGCGGAAAATCGACGATGTACGTTATTTACGCGAGGAAACCTATCTCTGGGCCGCGAACGATACCGAAGAGTTAGATCCGATTATTCAAACGAGACGTTCTATATACGTGTGTGTGTATATATATATATATATATGAGCGGTTCTTGCGGCCGTCGTACAAAAAAAAAAAAAAAAAAATTCGCCGAGCGCATATTTTATTGCCGCCCTATTCCTCCCTATCTGTATCTACTTTGTGTTTGTACATTTCGAAATTCGATATCGACTCGCCCCCCGGAATCGGACAAACTTTGTTCCTCGTGTGGAGGGGGGGAAAAAAACGTTATCTCGCGGATGAATAATTTAACTTCAACTTTATTTTTCCGCCTGCTTCCTTCTTTCCGGCGCTCCCCTCCCCGATTCTCCCCGCGAGATATCGAATGTATCGGATTTATCGTGGTTGGAAATTCGGAGATTCGCTGTTGGAACGCTTCTCCACTTCCGGTCCTTCCGCGAAAACACGCGTTAATTTTCATCGCCTCGCCGCGGGACACGGTTTAAAAACGGAAAAAGGAAGCTGGCGTTAATTGTTTCTCCCTTGCCTTTCGACGATTAAGTCGTAATTGGCTCTCTCTTTCTCTTCTGGACGATGGCTCATCGATCGGATATGTTGGTGCATTCTCTCAACCGCTCTATTATACGCGATTTACAACTCGAGGAGCCTAACTCTCCAAATCCGTTATCTATAATTTATGGGAATAGAGAAAATTTTACGACTCCAGGGATTTATTGCCAATTACTCGGAAAGAATCGAGGGTGTACATACATAAACCGCGCCTGAAAGGCTACTTCCTCTTCCTCTTTCTCGTCTTACGCATCCTTCGTGATACAAAAATAGAGATGGAGAGAGAAAAAAGGCTACGTTGAATGGTTTCGAGTTGGATGATCGGGAAGGATTATAAGCCAGTTGCAGGTGGTGCAAACTCGGGGGATAATTATCGGGCGCAAGGGGGAGGGGGGAGAGAAGCGAGAGTTGGCTTCCTTTTCTTCCCTCCCTCTGTTTCTGAGCCATCGAGCACGATGCACTCCGCCTATTTCCCCTGAGTGCGCCGGCAACGTCGCGGGACCGCGATCTATCTCTACGCCGTATTGGCCGAGTGCGGGGAATATTTATTTTTCAATCCTCCCCCGCGAAAGCGGCGGAACCATAAAGGATATTAAAAATTATTCAGGGGACAGGATGACGTTCACAGAATATCCCGAGATTATTCGATCGATAAACTCGGTCGAGTTTTAAATTTAAATTTTTAACAAGAATTTTATAAAACGACAATCCCTTCGTTCCTCGTATTTTTGCATTAAGGATCCGCTGAATTACTCTATCCAAATTGTTGCAATCTTCCAAACGCAATGCATAAGTTTTATCTATTATTAGCTTAAACACAGATTATTAAATCTTCCCTCGAATATATTATTCGAAATTTCCTATATATATATATATATATATATATATATATTATAAGAGGGTGAGTCGAGCTT